ACGATCCCCATCGTAGAATAGTTGACGGGCCATGGACCCCTGACGTAGTCGTATCCTTCTTGGTCGACGCCGTCGAGGCGAGGACCGCCGCCGTGATCTGGGCTATCAAAGCCGGGTCGATATGAAAGTGAGACGAGGTCGTCGTTCTGTCACTATCTTCACTACGACGCTGAACCCCCAAATTCTCCCTGCGAGAACGTCTCACGTCCCCGTGGGGACGAGAGCTACGATCTCTAACTGTAGAAGTACTACGATCCCCATCGTAGTTATCGTTGCCATGGTTACGCTGATCGAACGTAATCCGACCGACGTCAATGGCATGTATTTCCTTAATTCTCGCAGCCGTAGCCAGCGAGAGAAGGAAAAACCGTTTTCTGAGACAATAAGTCGAACGCGACCTGATCGAGAGGCTCGTAAGCCTGACTAGACAGGATGCGCAGAACGACATCGAGGTCCCAGGCCGGCGGTCGGAATTTACGTGACTGATCTTCAACCATGAAGGCACGTAGAATCTTCTGCAACTCCGGTACGGTAGTGAGCTTGTCGCCCGTAGGAGACGGCACTACTGAAGCCAAAGCTGCCAGATCGTCGAGATCGTCGACCCTTTCAGACGCCGAGATGACCGGAGAGAGACTAGGAACTCCGCCACCTGTGGTGGGGTCGCTACCGCCGGGTTGAAGCCATGAGACCTGGCGAAAATGGAGAAAGTGGTCCACTTGTCATCTTACAGCTTACGAGTCGTAACTCGATGTGCCGACGAGACAAGCGCTGCCGCTTTAGCCGAATAGCCTTTCTTCATTAACGAGGTCTTAAGCAAACCCAGGCGTGAAGCTGGAAGTTCTTTATCCCCGGATGCAAGTCGTCGGTGTGAGGATGAAGAAGGAGGTCGTCTCGATCTGGCAACGGGAACGGTGGTTGAACGATGATCTGAAGAAGTTCCGGGAACCATGTTCTGGCCGGCCAATAAGGCGCGACCAAAAGCAGACGTAGGTTGGCCGTTTGACGAACTTTCACCAGTTGCGATGGTAACAGCACCGTTGGTGGAAACGCGTAAGCGTCTAGACCCCCCACGGTATCGCTAGAGCGTCGTGGTCCCATGCCCATGGGTCTGGAACCGGCGACATGAATCGAGGGAGGCGGTTGTTGTACGGGGCAGCAAAGAGATCTACTTGGGGCAACCAGAGTCGATCTGTCAGCAGATGAAAGACTGTCGGATGGATCATCCACTCCGTGGGAGACGGCCTCGATGGTCTCGACAGGGCGTCGGCAATCACATTCTTGGCCCCCGGGATGTGACGGGCGCGTACGCCCATGTCCAAGTCGTCGACGAGGGCGAAGAACCTGAATGTCCGGTCCAGAAGGGCCGCCGACTGAGTTGTTCCCTGTTTGTTGACGCAGAGGACGACTGTGGAGTTGTCCGACTGTATCATCAGCTGTTTCCGACGGAGTCGAAGTTTCCAAAACTCGACCGCCCGAATCACTGCTTCCATCTCGAGGTAGTTGATGTGGAGGACCTTTTCTACTGGTGACCACCGCCCGGCCGCTTGGTCGTCCCCGAAGTGCGCTCCCCAGCCTTCCAATGACGCGTCTACGAATAAGTGTAGTATGAACGGAGGCTCGCTCATAAAGACGCCCTCGCAAACGTTCGACGGCTGGAGCCACCACTCCAAATGACAACGTAGCTGCGCCAGCAGTGGAACCAGGAGATTTGGAAACTCCAGGTGGGGGTACAGCAATCTCTGCAGTGGACGAAGTTGAAGACGACCTCGACGGGTCAAGTCTTGGGCCGATGTCAACAGACCGAGGACTTCCTGTCACGTGTGCACCGACGACGAGGCATGTAGACGTCACGGAACGCTGCTGACAATCTTGTCCCAACGGTCTTGAGGTACCTGGACCAGATTGACTCCCGTCTAGAAGCGTATCCTAATGTACTGTAGAACCCGAGGTGGTACCAAGTCCGACTTTTGAAAGTTGACGATCCACCCGAGGTACCGTAGTAGACTCAGGGTGGTCGCCAACTCACCTTGAAGGGCTACTGTAAACTGGTGAGCTTGGAGCCCGACGTCTAGGTAGAAGGCGACCCTGATCGCCTGCCGATGGAGCCATTCTACGACCGTCTTCATGATCCGTGTGAAAAAGCACGGGGCCGTAGAAATTCCAATCGGGAGGGCCGCCCACTGGTAATGAATACCTTGGCATTCGAATCGGAGGTACTTCTGGAACTCGGAAGCTATTGGTACATGTAGATACGCGTCCTGAAGGTCTAACGAGACGAGGAAGTCGTTCGGTAATATCATCCGACGCAGAGAGCTGAGGGATGTCAAGTTGAATGTGTCGGGTGGTTGGAGGTATGTTGCGTTGAGGAAAACCCACTTGTGGGCATAGTGACGAAGTCGCCCCCCTACCGGTAGCTCGTCTAAAGGTAGTGTCACCGGGGGAGACTCCAACCACGGCGACGGCGGGGGAAGGGACCTCACTTCCTCCCTCGCTGGTACTTTCCCCCTCTGGGAAACTTGGAAAAGGAGACCTGGCGACCTTTCCTGTCGGAACCTCCCTTGCGGGACGGCTGTCGAGGCACGTCCCTACGGAAAGCCCGTTGCACATTCTCGTTTCGGTAATGTCGTCGTGGGGCGTTCGAAACCGGTGGCCGTCTGGACAGGTTGGGTGAAGCCGAAATGATGATGTCACGCTCGGCTTCCCTGGAGTACTTGTCCAGAACGTCGTTGGTACGACCGTCGAACAACTGTTGCGATGTCCACGGGGCCCGTAAGAGTGACCTGCCATGACGATCAGGTAGGTCAGTGCAGTCGATGTAACCATGGCGACGCGCCGTAGTAATCTGGCCCGATACATATCGGGACTGGGCGAGGACGTCCTAGATCCACCGTTGCATACAGGTGAGGACCGATGGCACCGTCCTGTCGTCCTCGTCCTGGGGTTCTTTCACCTCAAAGTACACTGAGAGGGCCTTGATCGCTGTCGACAGCATAGCAAGCGTTTGCAGCTGGTGACGAACAGCAGTGCCCATGGATTCCAAATGTGGAGGGTGCTGGTCTCTTGAAGAGCAGCCCCAAGTCCAAATCCCTAGTCATGGGTGACGAAAACGGCATGCCATAGATCGGGTAACGAGATCGACCAGGCGGCTTGCAGAAGCTCTGCCCAGGCAGAGCAGAGCCAAAGTTCTGGTCCATATCGTGAGCCATGGCTCTGAAGACATCGGGAGGAGAAAACTGAAGAGACTGCGGTGTATCCGAATCGTACATTTGACGACCACGATGACGATGAACGCCCTCGTGTCGTGTACTGTCTCACGACGAGGCACTCATCCTGTCGTCCCGACTTGAACGGGAACGACTTCTGTGTCCACTGTCGTCCCGCACGACGTCCCTATCGTCGTCGGTAGAACGAGATGCGGACCGACTGGGGACCGTAGTCCCCTCATGGTCCTCGTCACCACCCGGTCCCGTCGTAACGGGGGAGGCTGAGTGACGCTCTCGATCAACCGAATGACGACGACCAGTCGTGCGGGTATTATCATCAGCAGGCGAACGGTCACGTGTCGAAAGCTGAAGTTGACTGAGGCGGGTCTTTTTCAACTGATTTCTGAGGTGTGGTCGACTCGCCACCCCCAGGGCCTGATGCGGAGGGTGCAGAGTCCAAGGATCCAACCGATGACCATATCCGCTTGTAGCGCTGGTCAGCGGCCTGCTTCGCCAACGCACGAAGATACAAGTTAAAGTTTATTGAAGACAAGTTCTCACATTTTTTACGTTTATTCCACGAATACGTTGAAAACCCGTCCTTAAGGACAATACTTGTGAGGGTCTACTTTAGACAGTTTTCGTTGACACGAGGCACAAATGCCCGACATATTGCCACGTGTAGAATCACTGTCAAACAGCGAAACACGCGTTGAACACAAACAATGGATTACCAAGGATTACATTCCAGGAGTCTACAGGTAAGACATATTATGACTTTATTAGAACAACTGTAGATAAGCGATAAGTACTAGTAGAATACAAACTAGCAGTCTACCGCGAAAGACTTTCTCGAGCGACCAGCGCAGAGGCGCGCTGAGAGATTTGTGACATGTCATAGGGAGGTGCGTGCGCAACCGGACGGAAACAAGTTTAATGTTTACATTCCAGCTTCTGGCTTCCTCTAAACGTGCGACTAGACGTGAGGGTATTAGAGATACCCATTTGTACGACTGAAAACAGACTAAAACATATTATTAAGAGTTAAATATAGCATTTATTTTATATGTATCAATTCTCTGACAACTAAGGTTGATTTCAAGGCATCAATAATGGTTATCTGATCGTGGCTGCTGTAAATAATGGCAATCTGTGGAGGAGTTCCACTCACAATTTTGCCAAATGTATACAATATTAAATGAAATTTTGAATTAAAAAAAAATGGATTAATAACATCAAACCAGATAGATACACAGAACACACATATAACCAGAGAGCGTAATAATAATAACTTCCATACAGATTTTTTAATCTCCAAATTATCCAGGGACAGCACATTTTGTCAGGAAATGGGATTTGTTCTACTCTGAGAATGTATAAAATATTTTTTTTGCAAGGAATTTGTGTATTATTTTGTTTATGTTCATTTAGATACAAAAATCAGAGGCACCGAATACTTTGCTCCCTTGAACTGATCATTTCGATATCTCTATGTCTTCAATCTTCTAAAAGATGTATCATCCCTTTCGCTGAAATATCTAATTTGGAAAACTGTTAAAATTTTCACCAGGTCCTCCATGTTGATGATTTTAATCATTGGTTCTACTAATGAATGTTTAAATACACAGTGTTATGCGCATTCAACAACACTCCTTAACCCATCAGATTAGAGAACATGCCTACTTTCATGTTACAAATATGGAGAACACAATGATTAATGTGATAAATAAAAAAAATCTTATAGGAAACAATTGCTGTTGAAACACATCCTCATAAGAAATATTTTAAACAACCTACTTGATCAATTATGTCAAACAATTCGTCAACTCCCTGCTCGATGACTCCCAGCTGTACTTCACTGCCCGATATTGTGTGAGTCTTCCCTGACCCACTCTGGCCATATGCAAAGATGGTTCCTGACAAGTAGAAGTATGCATAAGGAAAATTTGAAAAAGGTGATGGGTATTGCATGTAGGACATTTGAAAGTAATGATGGCTTTACTTCTTGCAAAGTGGTTGTATCAACTCACTTCAACCTGCACACTTCAAACAACAATCATATACTGGTGCTGATATATGCCCTGTGATCGTATCATAAACAGGCTGTTTAAGAACGTGTAACCTTACGGTTTGGCACTTTAACACTGGCATGCCAAAGAGATGCAACCCTGCACAGATAATTATGACGCCGTGGATGACAAGGCCACATGACCCCTCACTTATTAAGACCAGGAGTAGGGTGATGGGGGCAATCTCTGGACAGATAGGACAGAAAAAGAGCGCTTTCGGAAGTAGCATGCATCAAGTTTTGACCCACTCCTCACCATTAAATCCCTCAGCTGCATTCTTGATGATTGGTGAACACAACTCTCCGTACAGGTCATAGGTTGTGTCCGTGTGATCGTACACTGAATCTGAAATACACATAGTAAAACTGTTCATTTATAAAGGTTTTAATCTTCTTTGATGTTCATCAAGTCTTTGATACACACAAGAGAATTTATGGATGTTCTTTGGTATATGGAATAAGCGCCCAGGGCGCTCTCAAAATATAGTGAGTGAGTTGGGTTTAACGCCGCTTTTAACAGTATTCCAGTTATATCACGGCGTGTCAGCTTTATGTGGGAGGAAAGCCCCAAGTGACGCAGGTCTCAGACGTTTACCACTTCGTGAAACCCACGAGCACAGGTATGGTGCTGACAAACCTAGAAACATAATCGGGGCGAACCGGGATTCGAACCCACAATCATAGGTTTCTGGCGTGCCCAAGGGACTCCACTCTGCACAGCGAATTGCAGCGCCTTAGACAACTGGGCATCCCGTGCTTCCCTCAAAATAAAAATAGGGGTGCTTATTGGAATATAATTTTGGGTGAAGAAAAAAATAGAATTGAAAGATCGTAAATTTTGTGGTTTGGCAGATGCAGAAAACGACCGCTCTCAGTATTTTACCCCTTTAGATATATGTCTCTTACAAATAATACCACCTGCATATTTGCATGTATAAACTTACATATCTATGTATTTGTGAAAACGCAACTCCACATTAATAATGAGTAAAAATGATTGTCGACATCCATTGTTCCAAACAGGAAGTACCGGTAATCAGCAGGTAAAGTTGAAAAATAAAATATAAACATCCACTTTGTGTTTATGATATTCAAACATTACCTTATATTACTTACACTATTTTTCGGTGAGAATGATGATGTATCTAATGTTAATAACTACTTTGTTTCAGCAACATTTTTAGTAAAATCAACTTGAATATTTTTTCTCGAAACATGTTTAATTGTTGTTATTGTGTTCGCCATGGTGCTGGTCATGACAGTTTAACAATCGACATAAACAGTTTGTGAATGAAAATACTACAACCACCTACCTGAGATTAATTTATGAATATAAATATCCTAAAAAGTACATCTAGTTTTTACTTAATCATCGTTTTCAGAAGTAACATAACCTAACAGCTCTGCCACAGGCTAATTTGCATATCATGTGACCTGGCTTTTCTCTCATTAAACAAACACTAAAATCAAAACAGACTGACGCTTTACATATTGTTTTGAGTATTTATTTGCTACTAAAACTACGACTGAGTTGCACGACAATATACATTTATGCATCAAAGTGACCGTACCACTACCTCTCCATATGGCTTTGATGACAGCACCTGACGTAAACAAATGAAAACTAAGCAAATGGAAATAGTTCGAGTTTTGAGATATTTTCTCACTGGAAGTTAACCATGACAAATATTTATCTTGATGTGTAGACTCGTAAAAATATGAAACAGAAGAAAATAGGATCATTGTTGCATTGATAAATATGAGTTGGCGCTGTCGCGGTATGTGGTAAAGCGGGTTCAATGGAATGGGGTGAACGGAAGTGGTAAGTATAGTAGAGACATGATTTTGCCTCATTTTGCCAAATTATTATGTAAACATCCTTGAATGAAATTTTGAATAAAATTAATAAAATAGATTACAAACATAAGTCCAGATATACAATGAACACTTAAACAGTGTAAGATAGGGGTCATAATTCGTAATTTAATGCGGATTTGTTGATATTCTATTTCTGATGACAGATCATGACAGTCATATATGCCTATAAGACCGCCTGAAATGAAACTAAAGAAAATGATCTGTAAAGCTCTTATATTAATTTATGATGTTGATCAAGTCACTTTGCTTTGGAAATGAAGTCTCATTGAATTCAGCTGATGAAAGATCAAGCTGGCTTGTTTTGGGTTTTTTGGCAATGTGCAGCTGTTGGATAATTTGTTTATCACATGAGGGCATAAATTTCCACAGCAGCAGGGAAAATTGAGATAAGAAAACTTGTTATTTCACGTCAGAACATAAATTCAGGGCGGACAGGAGATGGGAAACACAGAAAAAAATATGGACAGCCTAATAAAGAAGTTGACATCCATACATCCTCTTACTTCTTGTTGTTCATGATATGGACTAAGTCTTTCATTTCTAAACAAGGTGTGTATGTGTGAGTGTGAGTGTGTGTGTGTGAGAGTGTGTGTGTGAGTGAGTTGGTGTGTGTGAGAGAGTTGGTGTGTGTGAGAGAGTTGGTGTGTGTGTGTGTGTGTGTGTGTGTGTGTGTGTGTGTGTGTGTGTGTGTGTGTGTGTGTGTGTGTGTGAGTGAGAGTGAGTGAGTGTGTGTGTGAGTGAGAGTGTGTGTGTGAGTGAGTTGGTGTGTGTGTGTGTGTGAGTGAGAGTGAGTGTGTGTGTGTGTGCATGTATAAGGCTGTGTATTTCCAAGCAATCTACAATTATATACCCTATATTATGATATACATAGAATACATGAACAATTCTTATAATCAAATCAAGGTTAACTCTTTAAACATGTGTTTAACCTGCTTGCAGAAAATGGTCATGATTGCAATGTCCAGTTTTCCCCAACAAACCAGATGCCAGATGTTTGCTGTATGAATAGATCATCCTGGCAGCGATAGAAACAGTTTAAGAATGTTTAGTCCACTAGTCCTTATAATGATAACATATAGCAAAACCCTTAAACTTTATATAAAGGCCAAATTTCGACTAGTTCTTATGATAATTTAACTACTGGTTTGGTAATGAGTATAGGACAAGTGCCAATTTCTAACTCTGGTATACACAGCCATGTGACAAACAGTCATCTACTCATAGTAGTGTTTTATACTCAAGAAAACTTTCCTAAATGAAATGTTCTAATACAGATTTTGGACCTTCAATACATTTGTTGTGCATCCAGTACAGACAAATGTTGAGATTCATCGGAGAAAAGTAACATACCCCATCCTTAGGGACACACAACAATATCCTTTGTACCTACACCAAGAGCAGTTATGACGTTATAGGGATCTGTCATTTAATCCATCAATCATGACAGTGGTAGAAACTAATTGATTTAGTCTACTAGTTATTATAATGATAACATATAGCAAAACTCTTAAAAAGGACAAATTTCTACTTGTCCTTATAATACCGTAACTGTTTGGTAGTTTGGCAAGGACTATTGGACTAGTGAGATTTCTAACGCTGCATGACCATTGTCCACATGATCATTGATTCATTTGAGGCTCTAAAGTAATTATCTAAACGTACAGCACACTCAACATTTCATTACTTTACAGGACACTCATATTGCTTGCAAGGACCCTTCATATTAATTATTTTGGCTCCCTAGGAACCCTGCTTTTGTAACTAATGTAAGTTAGGAAAAGAAAAAGATACATGTGATGAATGCTTTGTCTAATTCAGGTAGCCCTTAACAATCTCACACTGTATTCATAGCCATGTAAACAGCACCCCATCATTTCCTCATTAACTTCCCTATTTCATTCATGCAATTGTCACCCACCGAAAGTGTAGCCGTCGGAGGCAGAGGATTCATTTGATGTAATGGTCCCGTTATCCTTGACATTCCACAGAATAGTAAGTCCATTGCGTTGTTCCCTGGAGAAAAGAAAATATTCAGCTTGATAATCATATGACAGAGCTCCAGATAAGCTTTTGGTGTTGTGGGTATTTTACCCATGCATTTTAAAATCATTGGGTATCAGTAATTCTATCTGGGTATTCAAATTTCTGTTACCCACTAGTTTTTACACATGTGGGTATTTAAGTTAAATATTTAAAAACACTATTCATCTAGTCCCTGCAAACTGGTGTCGTGTGGGTTCAAGAGCTTTATAGGACTCAAAAATACCACGATACTACCACAAGAAAGTGTGATGGCAAATGATCATGATGTAACTGTCATCGTGGAGTTTGGCAAGGTTGCCGTTTATAATTTCAAAATAAGTTGCTGATTTGCTAATCGAATACGCAGGGTTACCATGGTTACTTCACAATATTTTGATGATACGCACCAGTTTTATTTTTGTAGCATATCTGTAATGTTCGTTTTTATGTTTTTTATTTTACTGCATATTTCTTCATTTCTGATGCGTATTTTAAGCAGATATGCAGCTTATCTGGAGCTCTGATATGATCACCAAGAAACTTGCATCATAATTTGATCAATCCCAGTACTTGCAGTAGAAACAATAATATTGACCTACTTTTGTAGCAAGGGACGTATGCGGACAGCTACTTTAATGTTGTCCGCCATTCTCACCTGCAAAAGAAAATGAGTTACACAACTTCAAGACATATCCCCATATAAACTGGAACACACTTTACAGGTTCAGGGTAGGGATGTCAACGTGCATCACAAAATTGATGCATTCATGGTCCCTGAAAATATAATCTGCTTCCCATTTCAGATAATTCAGTGCAGGGGACAAATCCATAAACTCAAAACGCCTACCGGTACTCTTCCCTTACCTCTCTTTCAGTTTATGACTCCTGTCACAAGCCAATTAACACCTGACTTGTTGTCCCGGAACAAGTGGTCATCAAACCTTCAAATGACCATGCCTCCCACTCCATTCCCCTCTCCACAACAACACTGAATGACCATACCTCCCACTCCATTCCCCACTCCACAACAACACTGAATGACCATGCCTCCCACTCCATTCCCCACTCCACAACAACACTGAATGACCATGCCTCCCACTCCATTCCCCTCTCCACAACAACACTGAATGACCATACCTCTCACTCCATTCCCCACTCCACAACAACACTGAATGACCATACCTCCCACTCCATTCCCCACTCCACAACAACACTGAATGACCATGCATCCCACTCCATTCCCCTCTCCACAACAACACTGAATGACCATACCTCTAACTCCATTCCCCACTCCACAACAACACTGAATGACCATGCCTCCCACTCCATTCCCAACTCCACAACAACACTGAATGACCATGCCTCCCACTCCATTCCCCACCCAACAACAACACTGAATGACCATGCCTCACACTCAATTCCCCTTTCCACAACAACACTGAATGACCACACCTCTCACTCCATTCCCCACTCCACAACACTGAATGACCATGCCTCCCACTCCACAACAACACTGAATGACCATGCCTCCCACTCCACAACAACACTGAATGACCATGCCTCCCACTCCACAACACTGAATGACCATGCCTCCCACTCCACAACAACACTGAATGACCATGCCTCCCACTCCATTCCCTACTCCACAACAACACTGAATGACCATGCCTCCCGATCCATTCCCTACTCCACAACAACACTGAATGACCATGCCTCCCACTCCACAACAACACTGAATGACCATGCCTCCCTACTCCACAACAACACTGAATGACCATGCCTCCCACTCCATTCCCTACTCCACAACACTGAATGACCATGCCTCCCACTCCATTCCCTACTCCACAACAACACTGAATGACCATGCCTCCCACTCCACAACAACACTGAATGACCATGCCTCCCACTCCATTCCCTACTCCACAACAACACTGAATGACCATGCCTCCCACTCCGTTCCCTACTCCACAACAACACTGAATGACCATGCCTCCCACTCCACAACAACACTGAATGACCATGCCTCCCACTCCACAACAACACTGAATGACCATGCCTCCCACTCCACAACAACACTGAATGACCATGCCTCCCACTCCATTCCCCACTCCACAACAACACTGAATGACCATGCTTCCCACTCCACAACAACACTGAATGACCATGCCTCCCACTCCATTCCACACTCCACAGCAACACTGAATGACCATGCCTCCCACTCCATTCCTCACTCCACAACAACACTGAATGACCATGCCTCCCACTCCATTCCCCACTCCACAACAACTCTGAATGACCATGCCTCCCACTCCATTCCTCACTCCACAACAGCACTGAATGACCATGCCTCCCACTCCATTCCCCACTCCACAACAACTCTGAATGACCATGCCTCCCGCTCCATTCCCCACTCCCCAACAACACTGAATGACCATGCCTCCCACTCCATTCCCCACTCCACAACAACTCTGAATGACCATGCCTCCCACTCCATTCCCCACTAAATGACCATGCCTCCCACTCCATTCCCCACTCAACAACAACACTGAATGACCATGCCTCCCACTCCATTACCCTCTCCACAACAACACTGAATGACCATGCCTCCCACTCCATTCCCCACTCCACAACAACACTGAATGACCATGCCTCCCACTCCACAACAACACTGAATGAAGATGCAATGTCATCGCTTAATGTATCTACAGAAGAAAAGAACATATGAAAATTAGCAATCCAATTCAAGCTTTATGAATAAACTCCATATAAATAAGACATATTTCAACATAACTGAAAAGTATTTTATGACTATTGTCAATTAAGAGCGATGAGAAAAATGTAAGTTACATCAGATGTCTAAGTATCCCTGCCCAATGAAGTTTCAGGGGTAATACAGAAATTTGCTCCGTCCAACCATCAAACTTTTTCGTATCCGAACTATAAATTATAATCTGTTCAACATTTCTTCATGAAACATTCCAGGCATGCACTGGACTGGGTAACTTTGCTTAAATCTTTTCTACTATTTTGGTAGGGCAATAAGGGTGATCCACCATTTGTCATTTCTTTGTGAATCTTTGTTAACACAACTGAGTGCTGTTGCTGTTTCTAATAAGGAATAGTAAGTTGGACTACTTCTTAAATAAGGGTTTTATTTTGTGGAGTATAACTAATATTCCTTTTAATATTTCTTGAAGACACTTGAAAGCACATCAGAGATCATAATCATACAATTCTGTTGGGATTCTGGTTTAAAATAGGTTACATACAAGACTGAATGGTTTAAGTTTTGTTTATTTGTGTTTTTTAACGAGGCACTCAGCAATATTCCAGCCATATGACGGGGGTCTGTAAATAATCGAGTCTAGACCAGACAATCCAGTGATTGACAAAATGAGCATCGATCAATGCGATTGGGATCGATGAAATGCATGAACCAAGTCAGCGAACCTGACCACCCGATTCGTCAGTTGCCTCTTACGACAAGCGTTTAAGTGATCAGACTGGGTGACTTGGTTGAATGTGTGACACTGTAACCGGACAGAGAGGGATGTTGCTCATATTAATTGCCATGTCTTTAAAAAAAAAGCATACATCAATCAAGGAAATGTCATCAGCTATTATGTTATCATATGGAACAATAACTTGTTTTAGAAACAATATATACAACATTGCTGATAAAGGAAAAGCTCTGTCAATTGAAAAGTACAATTACTAATTACTAGGCCCTTGTGCTTATTTTCAGAGAAATATAAAACTAGTTCAAAACATGCCATGCGAAAATAAAACACTGCAGCAGCAGCAGCAGCCCTCCCCATTCCTACAGACATGGCCATTTGAAAAGTAAAGTAAAGTAATAACAGTAACAATAACAGTACTCTGGACATAAGATCTGAAGGCTGTGTCCAGTTGAATACTTGCTATTTACAAGTTTAAAAACACAGCCACAACCATACAAATGCAAGTGGGTGATTGTTTAAGTCCAGTAGAAATTGACGTCATAATTAATGAACCCAGGAATTTGTGATAACACAATTGTTGCACAAAATCAATCTTCAGTGTGTCCTGGTTGTGCATATAAAGACCAATAAGAATCAAGCTTGGGGAAATCAGTTTTTGAGGTCTCCGAAAAGGGCCTTAAGCTTTGTTTTCAGCAAAATATACGAAAGATGTCATCTTTAAACACAAATTTGGCCTGTTATCAGAAATGTCCGGGTCCAATGCAATTTCTACTGGACTATTTCTGATATTAGAAGCATCAAGCAAAGATGGTGTACAAGAATCTGGTAGGGTATAATGCACGTTTACCTAGAATTAAAAAAGACACACCAGAAAGCTATAGTCATATTCATAACAATGATAACGAGGTTTTCAGCGTTGGAAAAACAGTCACGAACAATATCGATGTTGACAAGCTGATTGAACTTTCGAGCTTCACATCATTCCTATAATCATACAAACTAAAGTAAAAAAGAAATCTGCTTTTCGAACGAATTACATGCAAGTGTGCAACTGTAGACTTTGTACTTACAGCACACTCTGAACCGATCAGAATATGCGCTATGGAGCCTTGCGTTTAAATATCCCCCCTTCGATAAGACATGTTCCCCGATTGGGCGAACGGGGCGTATTTGTGCGAATGAATATTTAAGACCGAAAACGTTCTCGCACGCGAACATACTGCGAAATCGTAGCTTGTCAGTTGGTATATGTACTGCTCCACTTCTAATATCCCACATCCACTGGTCGTTAATACATAACATAAAGAGAGATTGTTAGTACGTGAGCATTTAAGATATGTAATTGACGATTCTACCTATTCAGAGGTTTTTGATGCAGTAATGTACTGAAAATAGTTAGCCTCCCCTTATGTTTCTCATATTCTTGACCTTCCCTGAAAAGACAAAATGCAAAGGAACTTTTTATTTTATTATAAAATGTCCTTATTCATGGCCGTCATCAAATACGTGTTATTATTTATGACCTTCCCGTAGAGACTGTCATATTTTTGTGACCCTGCCTCATTCCCTCCGACGACCCACCCTTACAATAAATGACGGGTCCTAAGGACTCGGGGAACGTAATCTGACACAGAGATGAAACTGATTAGCTGGACTTCTTACACACACCAAAAAACGGTCCTACTAAATAACGTCCCGGGAGCGTCCGGAAACGTCCGCGGCCAACGTCAGGCAGCGTCCGGGAGAATGATACTAAGTAATACAGTTCTTCTTTATAATTGAGTTCTTGTATTAATTATAATGATTATAATAAAGTGCCGTTAACGTGCATGTTTTATTTACGATATTCGTTCGATTTTTTACATATATACCAGTCTTACAATATCTTTCTTTGCATATCTCCTACTCAACTGGACTTCATACCACCGCTGGGGATCGGTTGGTCAGACTCGCTGACTTGGTTAAAACATGTCATCGATCCCAATTGCGTGGATCGATGCTCATGATATCAATCACTGGATTGTCTAGTCCAGACTCGGTTATTTATAGACCGCCGGAATGTGCGGCGTAAAACAACAAACAAACCAAACCAAATCATACCACTGCTACTGTTCTTTGATAAATTCTTGATTCTTACTGATACCATATGTTGTTGTTGCTTTAAGCAACAAGACTATACAAAGATAGATTGCCTGTTTAAGTGCTTAAGAGGTCGCCTTCTGCCTTAGCAGATTCGGCTGACCTGTCCTTCGGTGGGAAAACATATATATATGAGTTTTCGTATTGATAAAATTTCTGTTTTTGTATGGATATTATTACTTATTTAGTATTCATATGATTTCAGTTTTTTAGAAATTAATAGATTTTATTTGGCTGCTCTAGTTATATATATGTTCGTGTAGCTGACTACCATTATTACTAATACCTGTTAAGTTTTATTTAGGTTTAACTCGGCACGCACCAAAACGCAGCCGGCCCACTGCTCACTAGGTAACTATTCTCAAGGAATATTTAATTCGCTGACATTTTAAAAGCGACAGTCATCTGCCATTACTGGTATATAATTTTTTTTTAGCTCAAGATGGAACCCACGTTTTACAGCATTGAAAAGGTTATCAACCAGTATCAGTGAGGAAGACAGAAAGTGGCTCATAACTGATGAACATGTTTTCGTTAACCATCTGGGCGTGTTGACCAAACGCTCCTTTCAAAATCACCGCGCACTTCCGCATTGCGCACTGGGACTGGTATCCTGTCGGCTGCACAAAATGTGAGGCGATGAGCGCTCTTGTGCTGGCAAACCAGTCTAACCGTTCGTTCCCGGAAAGCAGTGCAAGAGCAGCGACACCAAGCGGAGGATCCGGGCACCAGTCTAACCAGTCTTCGCCGGTTCCCGGCTCCCTATGCGCGTTCCCAACTTGCCATACGAGAGACGGGGCCCAGCCAACAATCCACCTTTCAGTCGTCGTGCCTACATCATTTTAATTAATTTTAATTAATCGGGACTGGGAAAACGACAACACGTCAAGTTAAGCTGGTTCCCGGCCCCCTATGCGCGTCGTCAATTAATTATATATCTTATATGTTTCATATAGGCCTACTTACAGCAGAATACCTGGTGCTAATATCTCACTCCATCAGTTTGCCATACCAGAGACCATATAATAGATATAATAGATATAATCTATTTCTTTTTTGAAATTGAAAAGATGGATGATAAGTGATGCAAAATGTCAGTATATTTTGATAGTTTGCAACGATAATACTCTTCATTTACTATCACTGAAAATGTACAATTATGAAATAGTCAAACGAGGAAAGTATTCTGCTATTTATGGAGCATTTTTATCTGAATACAAACACTTTCAAGTTCGTTTTGGAGATAGAACAGTATGGTTGTGAAACACCGATATCATTTTCTTTTTGAGGAATGGTACTTAGATCAGGGCTTCAAGCAGAAACTAATACAATTACATCAGTACTTTGTCAGTGTGCACGGTCTTCCTACAGAATTAATTGTCTATATTCTGTCCTTACCTATCAGGACGTGATTTTCTTCAAAATGTGACCAAAACGTGCAGGTATTTTCATATCACCTAGGGGTGTCACGATTAATCGAAATATCGATATATTGCTATTGATAAGCACTTAAATCCAATAAATCGATTGTTCAATCAGTTTCCGATCAATAGTATCGATTTCAGTTATGAATATCGATAGTTTCGATTGTATTAACCATATCAATATGCAATGCTGTTCAAATTTGTTTTTCTTTTGATCATGAGTGGTAGTAATTTACACATGGTAATGTGGAAGTTTCTTTTTCTTAAATTATAAGGGTAAAGAAAAAACACACCAGTCATATCTCAAACTTTACTTATTATTTGTTGTTATGGTTATAACATTTCCAAGGAAACTTCAGTTCCAAGGTTTAATTCAACTCTAAAATCCATCTAAAAGGATACACTGAAAACTGTCAATGTTTATCGCAGTACTTGCTTGCAATATCAATAGTTATCGCAATAGTGATTTCCAGACCAATAGTCACCCCTGATATCATCCAATCTGTTCCTAATTCGTACAAAAACCTTGATCTGTCTGAAGACACTTTTCAACGATCACATACTGATGTTCTGAATCTTCCTGGATTGATGCTTAGATACTGACATTTAGCTTTAGTCGTTCCTGGGAATGGTGCTAAGATAATGACATTTAGCTATAGTCGGTCCAGGGAATGGTGCTAAGATAATGACACTTAGTTGTGACTGGTTCCTTGAAGTGTGCTTAGCTATTGACAATTAGCTATATATAGTCGTTCCTGGGAATGGTGCTAAGATAATGACATTTAATTGTAGTCGGTTCCTTGAATGGAGCTAAGATATTGACATTTAGTTGTAACTGGTTCCTGGATTGGTGCTATGCTAAAGACATTTAGCTAGGGTTGATCCCAGGAATGGCGCTAAGATATTGACATTTAGCTAAAGTCGGTCATGGGGGTGGTGCTAAGATAATGACATTTAGTTGTAACTGGTTCCTGGAATTGTGCTGATATAATTATATCTATAGTCGGTTCCTTACATTGTGCTAGGATAACAACATTTAGTTGTAACTGGTTCCTGGAATGGTGCTAAGCTATTGACAATTAGCTATATATAGTCGTTCCTGGAAATGGTGCTAAGATAATGACATTTAGTTGTAACTGGTTGCTGGAATGGTGCTAAGATAATGACATTTAGTTGTAACTGGTTCCTGGAATGGAGCTAAGATATTGACATTTAGTTGTAACTGGTTGCTGGAATGGAGCTAAGATATTGACATTTAGTTGTAACTGGTTCCTGGAATGGAGCTAAGATAATGACATTTAGTTGTAACTGGTTGCTGGATTTGTGCTATGCTAAACATATTTAGCTAGGGTCGGTCCCAGAAATGGAGCTCAGATATTGACATTTAGCTATAGTCGGTCCGGGGAATGGTGCTAAGATAATGACATTCAGTTGATACTGGTTCCTGGAATGGTGCTCAGATAATGACATTCAGTTGATACTGTTTACTGGAATGATGCTATGATAATGACATTCAGTTGATACTGTTTACTGGAATGGTGCTATGATAATGACATTCAGTTGATACTGTTTACTGTAATGGTGCTATGATAATGACATTCAGTGGATACAGTTTACTGGAATGGTGCTATGATAATGACATTCAGTTGATACTGTTTACCGGAATGATGCTATGATAATGACATTCAGTTGATACTGTTTACTGGAATGGTGCTATGATAATGACATTCAGTTGATACTGTTTACTGTAATGGTGCTATGATAATGACATTCAGTTGATACAGTTTACTGGAATGGTGCTATGATAATGACATTCAGTTGATACTGTTTACCGGAATGATGCTATGATAATGACATTCAGTTGATACTGTTTACTGGAATGGTGCTATGATAATGACATTCAGTTGATACTGTTTACTGGAAAGGTGCTAAGATAATGACATTCAGTTGATACTGTTTACTGTAATGGTGCTATGATAATGACATTCAGTTGATACTGTTTACTGTAATGATGCTATGATAATGACATTCAGTTGATACTGTTTACTGTAATGGTGCTATGATAATGACATTCAGTTGATACTGTTTACTGTAATGGTGCTATGATAATGACATTCAGTTGATACGGTTTACTGGAATGGTGCTAAGATAATGACATTCAGTTGATACTGTTTACTGTAATGGTGCTATGATAATGACATTCAGTTGATACTGTTTACTGTAATGGTGCTATGATAATGACATTCAGTTGATACTGTTTACTGGAATGGTGCTATGATAATGAGTTCGAAATTGGAAATGGTGTTTGAGCCAACCCGAAACTCACGATCTCTGTAAATAGTTTAGATAATCTCCAAACAGAAAAATCTATTTTGTTGAATATGTATGAACTTTTCGAAACGTAAGCATGTACGTGTAACTTGAGAGTACAGGTGTACATGTTCGTACCAAATACAGTGAAGATTGACTAACATCTACTAAAAATACAAGCATTACAAGTTTCAAATCGCTCTAACTCAAAAGTTGTGTGTTTGGAGTTGGAACAACTTGGTTTTCAGGACACGAAGTGTCAAGCTTCACTCGAAGTAGTAATTCTTACAG